ATACCTAAAATTTTTTTTCCTCTCTCTTTTTTAGTGTCACCATCTCTATCCCCTGAGAATGCCAGCTCCACAAGCACTCAGAGGTCTTGACTATGACCTATCCCTGGTCTCTGGAACAAAGTGAATAAAACCAACAGTGCTCACTGGAGTTGGGATTTCAATCTAGCAATGAATGGCTTGAAGTTCTACATACAATTAACACTCAGTAAAATGTATTTTTTTCCAAGTTCAGCTCAGTAAAAGTAGTTAAGTGCTTAAAAAGTGAGAGAAAGGCAGAGGCTGGAGTACAAACAGTATTGGCATCACTTGGGAGCTTGTCAGAAAGGCAGAATCAGCTAGATGGTAGCTCATGCCTATAACCCTAGCACTACCAGAGGCTGGGGTGAGAGGATTGCTTGAGGTCAGGGGTTCAAGACCAGCTAGAGCAGGAGCAAAACCCCATCTTTACTAAAAATAGAAAAATTAGGGCAGCACCTGTGGCTCAGTGGGTATGGCGCCGGTTCCATATACCGAGGGTTTGAACCCAGCCTCGGCCAAATTGCAACAAAAAATAGCTGGGTGTTGTTGTGGGCCCCTGTAGTCCCAGGTACTCAGGAGGCTGAGGCAAGAAAATCGCCTAAGCCCAAGAGCTGGAGATTGCTGTGAGCTGTGATGCCACAGCACTCTACTGAAGGCGACAGAACGAGACTCTGTCGCTAAAAATAAATAAATAAATAAAAATAGAAAAATTAGCTGGGTGTTTTGGCAGGTGCCTGCAGTCCCAGTTACCCTGGAGGCTGAGGCAGGAGGATGGCTTGAACGCAGGAGTCTGAGGTTGCTGTGAGCTATGACCACACCACTACACTCTAACTGGGGTGACAAAGACAGGTTTTGTCTCAAAAAAGAAAGAAAGAAAGAAAGAAGCAGAATCCCAGCCCCTACCCCTGACCCATGAACTGGAATCTGTTATTGTAAAAAGATCCTAGGTGATTCATACCACGGTCAAGATTGGAAGCACTGGTAAGAATGGCAAAGCCAAGTATTCGATGTACTCAATAATATGAAGCCAGCACAGGAACTAATACACACCCACATGAGAGAAAAACTCAATTCAATTCAAGTTGGGGGAAGGGGGAGAAGAAGGAGGTTGGGGGCTTGGTGTGCTCCCAGCTAATGGCTACAATGTAAGGGCATATGGCAAACTTCCTAAGTGCAGGACACAACGACAATAGCAATTTATCTAACAAATGCAAACACTGTAACCTATTCGGTCATACCCTCATTTTAATCTGGACAAAAAAAAGATTGGAACCACTGGATTATAGAACAGTGCAATGCTAGAGACTAAAACAAAAGCCATAACAAAAATCTGGGGGGTTTTTGTTTGTTTGTTTTTGAGACAGCATCACAAGCTGTCCTGGTGTCATAGTTCACAGCAACCTCCAACTCTTAGGCTCAAGTGATCCTCTTACTTCAGTTTTTCTATTTTTAGAGACAGGATCTTGATTTTTGTTCAAACTGGTCTCAAACCCCTGACTCAAGCTATCCACTTGTCTCGGCCTGCCAGAGTGCATGAGCCGCCTGGCCGGGCCATAGTCTTTTTACTCTCATATTTCCACAAATTCTAATTTGAATGAAAAAAGCCTACTAAATACTACTAAATATTCTAATCAAGTTGTAAAATGCAACTGAAGAAAACTAGGAGGATATTGTAGCTCATGCCAGTAATCCTAGTACTTTGAGAGAGGGAGGCAAGAGGATTGCCTGAGGATGGGTTAGAGACCAGCCTGAGCATAGAGCAAGACCCTGTCTCTATAAAAAATAGAAAAAATGGCAGCGCCTGTGGCTCAAGGAGTAGGGTACTGGCCCCATATACTGGGGTGGCGGGTTCGAGCCCGGCCCTGGCCAAAACTGAGAAAAAAAAAAAAAATAGAAAAAATTAGCGAAGGGTGGTGGTGCATGCCTATAGTTCTAGCTACTGGGGAGGCCAGGGCAAGAGGATCACTTGAGTTCAGAAGTTGAGTTTGGGCTCGGCGCCTATAGCTCAACCGGCTAAGGTGTCAGCCCCGTACATCTAAGGTGGCAGGTTCGAATCCCCAGCCCGGACCCGCCAAACAACAATGACCGCTGCAACCAAAAAATAGCCGGGCGTTGTGGCGGGCGCCTGTGGTCCCAGCTACTTGGGAGGCTGAGGCAGGAGACTCGCTTG